CGGTCTGGTTTTTTTTTTCTTAATAATTGTTTATTTGATTTTATATATTTTAATTTGACCAGAGAGGGTGAGAGAGAGAGAGAAGGAGTGAGAGAGAGAACATGAGAAAGCATACCACCAGGTCCAGGACTCAAATCTCAGTTAGCCATGTGGGAGTCCAGTGCCCTTAACCACCACGCCACCTGCCATCCCCTGGTCAGGTATTTTGAAAAATGTCCCTCAGTTTGGATTTGTTTCATGTTTTCTTGTGACTAGATAGAATTATTATGGTTATTACTAGTGATGCTAACCTTGATCACTTGGGTAAAGTAGTATTTGTCAGGTTTCTCCCCTGTAACTAAACATTTTAATGACATTAATTATTCTAGTACTTTTAAGTCTTATTTTTTATATTGATATCAAAACCGTCCAGACTCATATCTTATTGTATGTCCTACTGTAGATTTTTTTTTTTTTTAGCATTTTCTTTGTAGGGCTCTGTATATTTCTTGACAAGTTTATTCTTGGGTAGTTTTTGCATTTATTTATGTATGTATGTATATATGTACATACGTATGTATGAATGAATGAGAGACTTTTGCCATAGGGCATGTGTGCTTGCCAGAGAGACAGAAAATGAGAAATCACCTTGTGAGGGGGGTTGGCCTCCATGCTGCAATCTGTTCTCCTCCATCCTCTCAGAATTTTAGGCATGCAGCAAATACATCCCACATGAGTTGTAAGCAACTGGATCCAGGACTTAAACTGTGGTTGACTATGTGGGAGTTCAGTGACATAACCATTACCCCATCTTCTGGTCCCAGGTATTTTATTTTTATTAGTGTTAGAAAGGGAGTCTTGAATGCTATTTACTAACTAGTTTCTTTTTTGGGGGGGAGGGGAGGTTTTTTGTTTTTTTTTTGTGTGTGTGTGTGGTTTTTTTTTTTTTTTTTTTTGCTGTAGGGCGCATGTGCTCACCAGGCAGAGAGAGAGAAAGCGAGAATTCAACGCCCCAGGGGGATGGCCACGCCGCAATCCCTTCTCCGTTCTCCTCTCGGGATCTTGGGCGTGCACGCACGTGCGCCCGGTGTGAGTTTTTTAAGCCACTGGGTCCAGGACGTGAACTGCGGTCGACTACATGGGAGTCCAGCGACATAGCCATTTTGCTAACTACATAACTAATTTCTTAATTCATATCTGATTGATGGTACAGTTCCTTTTTCATTGTACCATTAGTCTATTAGTTTGAATTTATTTCAAAATGTACTGTTTATTAATAATTGCATAACTCTAAATTAATTTTACTTTCATTGTGTCCTCTTCTTGCCCACCACTTGAGATTGGAGCTTTTTTTAAAATAATTATTTAATTTTATATATTATTATTTTTTTTAATTTGACCACACACACACACACACACACACACACACACACACACAGGAGAGAGAAAAAGAGAAAATGAGAAAGTAAGCCACCAGATTTGGGACTTGAACCGTGGTTGACCATGTAGGAGTTCAGCACCTCAACCACCACACCATCTGCTAGCTACAGAGCTGATGCTTTTTATATATGTAATCCTGGACAAATCTTTTTCTTAAGAAAAATTTTTGCTATAGGGCTAATGTGCTTGCTGGAGAGACAGAGACATAAACTGAGAAATCACCCCCTTGGGGGGATGGCCACACTTCAGTTCCTTCTCCATTCGTTCAGGATCTTAGGCATGCATGCTCAAACACCTGGTGTGAGTTTTAAGCTGCCATATCCAGGACTCAAACCATGGTTGACTGCATGGGAGTCCAGTGACATAGCCATTAGGCCACCTGGTGGTCCCTGGACAAATCTTTTAACAAACTATAACTAAATTTCTGGATACTTTGGTTTCTTGTTAACTTTGAGGGATTATCATATTTTTTTAGTTCAATCTCCTGTCTATCCAGACTCTGATTTTCTTTTTTCCTGCTACCGAAAATACCCTAAAACTTGATTAGCATACTATGCTACCTCTAAGCGATGACATATTTATTTGTAGAGAAAGAAAACTAAATATTGCATTGGCCCGAATTCCCACAGTGAACATTCTCTGTGTTTTTAAGATTTTTGGAAACAAGATTTCTATATGCTGCCTGTTCTGTCACACTGCACAGTGGTACCCAAACTCCCCAGGCCTACCACATTGTCCACCTGGAAGAGGCCAAAGCAGGCAGCTTCACTGGAACCGTGAAGAGTCTTGATGAACTGCATTCCATATTTCTGAGGGATTGGGAAAGTAAAGCACCAGAGGATAAGCTAATAGAAGTGGTGGTACATTCCTTCCCTGATGACATTGTATAAAACTTTGAGCTAGCCAGAACCAGCCTCCCTACTGGGATTCTGAGAACTGGGCCACATTACCTGCCTAAAACAGTACACAATTAAGAGCAATAAGAGTTTGAACAATTTAAAGTGCTGCTATTGTAGACTCTGTAAGATTGATTAGACCTCAAATGCACTATATAGATATTATTTACGTCAGGAACTAGAGGTCATCCCTCTAGGCCTAAAGTGAATGGGGGGAGACCTCACAGAGAATGTAGAACTTTAACTGGGGCTTTAAAGCAATTTAAAAAAATAATAAAGCAGAATGAATGGTGAGAGGAGCTTCTCAGATGGAGACAACAGTATGAAAACAGTTCAGGAAAGTGAAAAGATGGTTGAAACTGAGTCTTGGAATCTAATTTCTCGATCCATGGATCCCTGAGTATCTCTTTACCCAGAAGGTAGCACATTTTTTTTCATAGAGGACCAGAAAGTAAATATTTTAGGCCTCATGAGTTAAATAGTCCAGTTACTCAGCTGTTGCTGTAGTTCAAAAACAACCGTACAAGAATGAATGGGTGGGGCTGGGTTCCAATAAAGCTTTATTTATGGATATGCAATTAAAATTTCATATAGCTTTTTTTCCAATAAAACTTTATTTATGGATGCTGCAGTTTAAATTTCATATAGTGTTTTTACATGCCATGAAGTGCTCTTCTTTTGGTTGTTTTTCAACTGTTTAAAAATGTAAAAACCATTCTTAGCACATGGATGGGTTCCACAGAAATAGTGAGCTTGACAAAGCCTGCAGGCTGTAATGTGCTGACCCCCGATTTAGTCCAGTAACATACACTAGAAGCAGGTTATGCGAATAAAGTATAAACATACAGAGTTTTGTTTAAGCCAGGGACATGTGTACTACAGCTTTAAGTAACTGGAAAATATTGACTCATTTAAGCCTATAAATAAATCAAACTAGTCAAAGCCATAGCATTTTTAAATACCCTTAGAAAGGAAGACAGTTCGTGATTATTACAAATGAATAGCATTTTTACTGCTGGTCCCAGTTTAAGGATCTTTTCAGTCAGGATCTGCTTAAGAATAACATGTTCTAACACAACTGTAGATTTATTGGAAAAGCAGTCTTTTATTTCTTTTTTAAAGTTTAGTTTTTGAGAGACAGATGGATAGACAGACAGGGACCTCTGACTCCCACCACCACTACCACCACCAGCAGCCTTGCCAGCCAGGATTGTGGTGCCACCCCCCAGCCCGGGTCAGTTGGAGATCCAAACTTGGCCTTCCCATGTGGCTCCAGTATTGGTCAGCCGTGCACCACCGTGGTTGGGCTGGGAAGCAGTTTTTAGATAGCCTTTGTAGTTGGGTCAATTACTCATTCTTAAATGCTGTATTTCCTTTGCAGGGATGGTCTATATGGCTGGACTTGTTTTTGCTGTTGGTGGCTTTAATGGCTCATTAAGAGTCCGCACCGTAGATTCCTACGACCCTGTGAAGGACCAGTGGACCAGCGTTGCTAACATGCGAGACCGGAGAAGCACTTTGGGAGCTGCTGTGTTGAATGGACTGTTGTATGCTGTGGGAGGCTTTGATGGGAGCACAGGTAATTTCCTTTTCAACTTCTCTCCGTTGCTGTTCGAATTAACATAGTAACTATGTTTATGGAACAAATTGTGACAAAATTAGGACACACCTGTGGGCTTCAACAGGTATTATATTTAAAATTAAATTTTAAAATTGCATTAAGAATTTCTTTAAATGACACAGAGTGGTGAATATATGTGTGTGTGTGTGTGTGTGTGTGTGTGTGTGTATAACTTCCTTAAACATTAGTGTAAGTCATCTTAACAAGTTAGAAAAGCTTATAAATGTCAGTAGCTGGGATAGGAGCCTTCTGGAAAAGAAACTATTCTTGTTTGTCATGTATTTGATATGTTCACATTCCACCATTTTCTTTTCATCTTAGCTCAATATAACATACTTGATGTATATTTCCTTAATAATATGTATATAAAAGAACAACTAAATTGTTTTTAGAGGAGGAAATGAAGAGTGTTGTGCATTATTACAGGCTTATCATCCGTGGAAGCATATAACATAAAGTCTAATGAGTGGTTTCACGTGGCTCCAATGAACACGAGAAGGAGCAGTGTTGGTGTAGGCGTAGTTGGAGGTAGGTGCTGACAGTTCTTTCAGGTGAATGTTTCCCGAAATACAGGGCTTCTTGCTTCTTGAGTGGGGTTCTGGTGATAATCTAAACACTGGTTTTATAAATGGGCAAATTATCATTTAAAAAGGAAGAGAAAAAATTACAATAAAATTTTAATGGTTCTTTCTCAAAAAAATTAGCTTATCTGTATAAATCAACCTGTATAAGGCTCCTTCTCTCCCCTTTACCCCCTTTCCTCCCTCTTCCTCTCACTGTCTCTGATTTAGTGTGTGCATATGCATGTCATATAAGACTGTCAACTGAACTTAATGCGGTTGTTTGGGGAGCAACGCTTATGACATAAATGTTAAATTATGCATCTGGGAAGGGCTGTTTAACATTTAAGGGACGGATGCCATAGTTAATTCTATTCTACTTGTCCCCCCAAGAGAATTTAAGGAAATCTATAAGTACTATTCTTTGGTATGATTTTAATTTTTTTTTTTAATGCTGGCTCCAGCAAATTTGTGAGTTCCCACCCCTTCCTCACTGTGGGTATAATTCTCTGCACTAACTTTATAGAAAAAAACAACTTTACTGAGATGTATTTTATTTTTTAAATAGTTATTTTATTTAAGTTTATTCATCATCATCATTATTTTAAAAATTTGATCAGAGAGAGAGAGAGAGAGAGAGAGAGAGAGAGGAAAGTGAGAAAGCAAACCACTAGGTCCAGGGCTTAAACCATGGTCAGCCATGTGAGAGTCCAGCACCCCAACAACCATGCCACCTGCTAGTCCCAAAATATATTTTATATATCACATAAATAAACTATTTAACCTGTACAGTTCCCTATACATCTATCATCACAATTCATTTTAGAACATTTTTACTACTCTCTGGGGCCAGCAGTTGGCATAATGGCTATGTCCCTGGACTCCCATGTAGTCAACCACGGTTCCAGTCTCAGACCTGCTGGCTTAAACTCATGCTGGGTGCGTGTGCATGTGTGCCCAAGATCCCAAGAGGAAAATGGAGAAGGGATTGCGGTGTGGCCATCCCCCCAGGGGATGATTTCTTGCTTTCTGTCTCTCTGGCAAGCACATGTGCCCTATAGCAAAAACTTTTCCAAAAAAAAAAAAAAAGAACATTTTTACTACCCTCAGAAAGCAACCCAACCACCCTTAGCTATTACTTCCTTTCTTCCAGCTTGCAGGATCCACCAGTCTACTTTCTGTCACGATAAAGATTGATCTCTTCTGGACAGTTCATATTAATGCAATACATAGTATGTGATCCTTTGGACTGGCTTTGATTACTTAACCAATATTTCCAAGTTTATTCTTACCGTAGTATTTATTAGTACTGAGTGTCTTTTTGCATATAATGCCTCAGAGCATTCTGGTATTAACTCTTGATTTAACTTGTTTTTCAATTTACTAAGGTAACTTTGATATTTAATTCTATTTTTTACAATGTTGTTCACAAAGATAAATGACTATATTTTCTGTACTATCAGCCAAATTCTTAAAGAGAATGCAAAATTAATATATATATCTTGTAGATCTTCATAATACTATTTAATCCCTTATTAACATTAGGCAAGGCCTTTGTATAGTTTGTGAAAATTAGTAACACCATTAGGGGAAACTCTTGATACCATAGAGGAAAATATATGAATTTTTTTTGACTGGAAAGTATAACTCTTTTATGAATTTGACTTTGCTTGTGATTTTCCGTGTTTAGGTTTGCTCTATGCTGTAGGAGGTTACGATGGAGCTTCTCGTCAATGTCTTAGCACAGTGGAGTGCTATAATTCCACAGCAAACGAGTGGAGCTATATAGCAGAAATGAGCACCAGGCGCAGTGGAGCAGGTAACTGTGAACTTCATGTAGCAGTCGAAGCACAAAAATGATCAAAATAATTAAACAAGTGAAATGGTTCATTGACCTTATCTGAAGAATAGTTTTTTGTGTCTGGGAACTAAGTCTTTTCGTATCTCGTTTCTTACAAATTTTGTACTTTAATCCTTTATTATTTTTATTATGGAAATTTTTTTCAAAAGGATTATATTACATGACTTTCCCCTCTCTATTTTTCACCTCCATGTTATTTTTATCGTTTGACATGCCTTTTCAAAAAAATAATAGCTTTTATTGAGATCCTTGTCAATTCTGTTAATTTCTCAATTTATATACTTTAATATCAATTTACTTTATGAATTAGCATTTCAGAAGCTTTAGAGAAATGTCGTTGGAGTAAGTCTTAATATGTTGTAAGTCCCTTGTCCCTTTTGCTTTCCTATGGTTTGGTTGGTTGTGTTTTATAGGTGTTGGTGTGTTGAACAACTTACTGTATGCAGTTGGAGGCCACGATGGCCCACTAGTACGGAAAAGTGTTGAAGTATATGATCCCACCTCTAACACATGGAGACAGGTTGCAGACATGAACATGTGCAGAAGAAATGCAGGTATCTATCTAGTTTATGATTATAAAATTGGTATTGAATTTTATTCCAGGCTTTACTGGTATCATTGTGTCTTTCCATTGTTCCACTGATCTGGGTTCCCTGATGGACTTTGAACTCTTCTGTAAAGTAAATGCCTAGCATAGTATCTGTAATAAACTGGATCGTTGGGATACTTCAGTTAATTTTTACTTCCTGGTAGTGATTGCAGAGAATGATAAATTAGGGATAGAGCTATCTTTATATGTATTTCATTTACTCTTATTACCACATGCATTTTTGAGTGCCTACCATGTATCACATACTGAAAATCCCAGTTCTTAGGGAATTTAGTCTAACTGAGAAGGTTTTTTTTTGGAGAAGTTTTTGTTATAGGGCGCGTGCACTCACCAGACAGACACAGAGAGACAGAAAGTGAGAAATTACCCCCCAGGGGGGATGGCCACACCGCAATCTCTTCTCCTCCATTCTCCTCTCAGGATCTTGGGCACACATGCACATGCACCTGGCGTGAGTTTAAGCCACCGGGTCCAGTACTTGAACCATGGTTGACTACATGGGAGTCCAGCGACATAGCCATTACGCTAACTGCTGGTCCCGAGAAAGTATTTTTTAAAGAATTATTTTATTTAACTTTTAATTAATTAATTAATTAATTTATTTATTTTAAAATTTGACCAAAGAGGGACAGAGTAAGAGAGAGAAAAAGTGAGAAAGCAAGTCGCCAGGTTCGGACTCGAACTGCAGTCAAAGTATTTTTTAAAGAATTATTTTATTTAACTTTTAATTAATTAATTAATTTATTTATTTATTTTAAAATTTGACCAAAGAGGGACAGAGAGAGAGAGAAGTGAGAAAGTAAGCCTCCAGGTCCAGAACTTGAACTGCGGTCAGCCATGTGGGAGTCCAGCGCTTTTAACCATCATGCCACCTGCCAGTCCTGAGAAAGTATTAATACCAGGTTAAAAAACTAGTCAATTATTTGACTCTAGAAGGGAACCCTAAAGAAATAATTCTCACTTAATGCTGTTCAGGATTTCTAGAAAATGAAAAAACTTAAAGCAACAGTAAAAAATAATTTTAAGAAAGCATAGTTCTTCAAGATTAGGGAACTAACCACTTGAAAAGAAAATCCACAGAAGAGAAATAATAATGGAAAATAGAGTCAGGATTGCTACCTTTTGGGAAAGGCTGATCTTCAAAATGCCATTATCTTCATGCCATTTTCCATAGGCTAAAATAAATTTCTGACGGTTCTCAAACTCAGGGTAATCATTGGATGATGTTGCAAGATACATCCCTCCCTCCTACCCACCAGAAATTTTCTTCTAAACTTTTCTTTACAGTGTGATTGCTCATGGAGACATGGGACTGCAAGGACTGGGGGGAAAAAAAAACAGAGTTTATAACAAAATTCTGTTTGATCTTTGCACATTATCCAATCAGTCATATTTCATGAGGTACTAAAAACCTCTTGGCTAAAGTCTAAAACCGTGGTCAGACTCACAGATCCTCAGTAGAGTTAAGTACTTGACTCCAATACTTATTACTGGGTGAGAAAAGCTGTGGTAATATGTACATGTATCTCTTTGGGTTAGAAAATATATTTGCAACTTGAGCTTTTATGATGATTTTCCTAAAGATTTGAGTAATCTTTATTCTCTACATGTATTTATTGTTTTCAAATCAAAAGTAGCTCTCTCATTTTTTTTTTTCCAGCCAGAAGAATAAGGAGATAATTTGTATATAGAAAGTTATCATTGGGGCCAGCAGGTGGTGTGGTGGTTAAGTGCGCTGGATTCCCACATGGCCAACAATGGTTCAAGTCCTGGACCTGGTGACTTGCTTTCTCACTTTCCCTTTCTCTCTCTCTCTCTCTCTTTCTCTCTCATCAAATAAAGGAAAAAAACAAAAAACAAAAAACAATAACAAATGGAAATAAATAAATAATTCTTTTTTTAAAAAAAGAAAGTTATCATTAACCTGCTCTTTGAAAAATTGTATGGGAAAGGGTGAGATTTAGGAAAAGGGTTCGTTAAACAACTGTTTTATACTTTGATGTGGACTTCAGTTAGATGAGCTTTCATTATTTGGTAATTATCAGAAAGAGGGGAAGTTTAGTCTCTAGTTTACTTTTCCTTGTCAGTCAATTAAGTGTATTTATTTTCAGTGCAGAAAATGGAAGTTGAATATTTACTTGTATAATTTACAAGATTCAGTATAATCCTTCTGAACCCATGTTTTTAAATTATTTAAGTTCAGTGGCTAGCAGGCTGTGTGGTGGTTAAAGTGCTGGACTCCCACATTGTCAACCGTGGTTTGAGTCTTGAACCTGGTGGCTTGCTTTCTCACTTTCCCTTTCTCTCTCTCTCTTTCTGTCTCTCTCTCTGGTGAATTAAAATAATAATAATAAATACAAATAGATAAATCTTTAAAAAATTACATAGCTCATAAAGGTATTTAAAATGTCACCCTTATTCCATATTTCTATTGCTCCGAAACAAATTTTTGTAAATTCCATCTAGCTTTTCCTTTTCAATATCCTAGGATAAGGACTTCATCCAGGTACCTAAATTTTTTTTTAAAAAGAGCTAAGCTGGCAAGGAGAGGAGGGCTTGTGTTCAATTTTAAATGGGGAAATATGACAGCATTCATATAAATTTCAAATAGCAAACAATTTACAAGTTAGATATTGCATGTTCTCCTAAGTGTGGTAAACTATGACATCACGAGTGGAAGAAAAATGAAATAAATTTGAATTAGATTATAAACGGCCTTACAATATTAGCACACTGGCATGTTCTCAGTGTGTGTGTGGGATGAAGCAAATTGAGTAGATTGGAACCATCAAACACTGCAGGAAAGTACATCCTTCAGGCAAAGTATTAGGCTGTTACTGCCTAAAGGGAGTCTGGTGATGTGAGTTAGTAGACTAGTAGAGTTGACATCTTTTAAAAGTATACCTAATATATTCAAATAGATTTAGGGACTGATCTGTTCTTCTGCAGTTGGATACTCTTTAATCTGTGAGCCTCTCGTAGGTGTAAATTGGGAAAGCTCTTCAGGAAAGCATAACCTTTACTCATCCCTTCTGTCATAGCAGAGCTACTTCAGGGGCCATTTTGTCTCTTCAGAGTTGTATGCTGTCTGATCAGTAAGCTAGAATAAAGACTAGCATAGATAGCCAACAATTTGGGAGAGCTTGTATGGCAGTGGTATTTTCTCTCTTGCTTTCAAGCATTTGAATTTCTTTAAAAAGATAAGAATTTGTTCCCTAGCAAGAGACTAAAATATTAACACGGTTGAGTTGAGTAAAATAGAGATCTACTTCATTTGCACAGAAGACAGTATTGTTAGTGTACTTTCAAAGGCTTGGTAGGCATGTAGGTAGGCTCATTATTTTGTTGTGTTAAAACTCTGAAGCATCAGGTCAGCAAGTGACTTGGAGGTTAAGGTTGTGGATCCCACCTGCTGATTGCTCGGTTTGAGTCCAGACCAGGTGACTTGAAAATCATACTGGGCATGTGTGCATGCATACCCAAAATCATGAGAGGAAACTGGAAAAGAAGGGATTGCAATGTGGCCATCCCCCAGGGGTGATTTCTCACTTTCTGTCTTTGGCAAGTGCACATACCATATAGCAAAAAGAAAACAAAAAATCTGCAAACATCTATTAGTTATGCAGCAAAACCATCTACACAACTGCAAAGATGACTAGTATGTGGGGAACTCTTCCCTTCTGGACTCTTTGATGCTCACTAGTACTACTTCTTAATAATGTGAACATTTTTAGGATGTTAAATATACTTTAAACAAAATTAAATTGAAGTAAAGAGGCTTTAAAAGATGCGTACCTTTTGATTTAACTATTATTTCTAAAAATTTATAATAAATAATTACAAATGTATTTTTAAAAGTATGCTGGGGTAATCTTTGTTCATAGCAACAACACTGATAAGAACAACTAAATAACCAATAGTAAAATATGGTTAAATAAATAGTGATAGTATTGTACATGGAATACTCTGTGACCATTAAATTACATAGAGCTAGATTTAGTAACTTGGGGGACTGTCTGAGGTATATTATTTGACAAGAGTAAGTGAGTAATAAAGTAATATGTAGTGTCTGAGTATATAAGCATAGAGAATAATATACCAGAGTAGAGATCAAAATTTTAATGACTGGTATTCTATTAATAAGTGGTATAGAATTAGGTCTATTTTTCTTTATTCTTTTCTAGATGTTTTGAGTTTTTGCAAAAAAAATATGAGTTATTCTAATAATACAATAATATTAACCTTCCTTTTTTGGGGGGGAGGTTGCTATAGGGCGTGTGTGCTCACCAGAAAGACACATAGCGAGAAATCACCACCCAGGGGGGATGGCCACACCGCAATTCCTTCTCCTCCTTTCTCCTCTTGGGATCTTGGGCATACACGCACATGCGCCCAGCATGAGTTTAAGCCACCGGGTCCAGGACTTGAACTGCGGTCAGCTACATGGGAGTTCAGTGACATAGCCATTACGCTAACTGCTGGTTCCCTAACCTTCCTTTTTTAAGGTAAATGAAATAGCTAACCATTTAGTATCATAATTAAGATTTTTTTTTAACCTTCTAGAATATATTTTTTTCCTTAAGATTTCCTAAGAAGCTGACTTGGGAGAGTTACCAAATTTCTTTGATCTTTAACTTTTACCTTTTTAAAAATAAAATGAAGAACAACATAGTTTCTAATCTGTGAAATAAGGTTGTTGTTAGGATTAAATGAATTACATAGTGCAGCTACAAATGCAGAAGCTTAGAAGAGATACTAGATGCTCACATATAAAAAGGAGTTCTTTATATATTTACTATCTTTTTTACCTCCTTTCAAGAAAAAAAGACTGGATCATCTCATCAGTCATTTACAGAAATAATCATATTCATCCAATTAAATTGTTTTCTCTTTGTGTAATTTTTTAAGGTGTCTGTGCAGTTAATGGTCTGTTATATGTTGTTGGAGGGGATGATGGTTCCTGTAACTTGGCATCGGTGGAATATTATAATCCAACAACTGATAAGTGGACAGTTGTGTCATCATGTATGAGCACAGGGAGAAGTTATGCAGGTAATAATCTTCTCATCTTGTGCCTTCTATTATAATACAAAAAGCTGACATCGTTAAGATTTTTCGTTAACACACTTTCTCTGTTAAGGTCTTTTCTCAAAGTATATTTTATAACTTATTCTTAAAATAATTAACATGGGAGGCATATATTCTGAAATACAGCACCAGTATTCTTTTGTCATTCTATAGTCACTTGCATTCAGAATCTCAAATCTTTGCAGCATAGACTCAGATAGGCTGTAATCTCTGTGCAATGGAGAGGAGCTACCTGAGTGACAAGGCTGGCCCTCCTCAGGTAGCCACGAAGCATATACTGTAGTCAGGTTGTGAAGGGATTTTTTTTAAAAAAAACCATAGCACTATTTGAATTATAAAACATCATTTTTGATTGAGAAATGGTAATACTCTTTAGTAAATATGGTGAGTTTTAAAACTGTATGCAGTACATTAATTATAAATAGTTATGTTGGTATAAATATTAGAATGTTTTTGTAACAAAATTGATCCAATAGTGGAGAAAAAAAGAAGTTTATACTATTGGGTCGCTGGAAAAGTCATGATGCATTTTTGCATAGAAAAACATAGAAAAATACATTGTGACTTTTTGGTGACCCAATGATTAACCATACAGTTTATGCATCATCCAAAACATCTCATAGAAGAACTGTAAACAGTAGTACCCCAGAGTAATATGGCTAAGTATCAGGCAAATTTAGTTTCAGTTTCATTGAGGTCTAACGGACACAGAATAAGTAGTGTGTATTTAATTATGTGATATATGTGTTTACCTGTGAAACCATCACCACAATCAGAATAATGAGCATAACTATCATGGCCAGAAATTTCTGCCCCTTTGTTGAGTATTAGGTGAATTTTGCTTTTTCCTGAGTAAAATTATTTTCTCCAATTTATAACTCTGAAAAGCAAAAGACTACTTTGGGATTAAACAGTCTGATTAATCCTGCTCCACAACTAAACCGAGATTTCATTGCCATCTAGATTAAAATGATAGGACTACTGAAGTTTGTGAGATTCTGAAACATGATTCCATGATTCCTTCGGTCTCTGCTGTTCTAGTCCCGTGCCCTCCACCCCCTACCCCTCTCCCCTGAAATACACAATGCTAGGTGTGAACTTCTATTTTACTTCTTCATTTCTTTGTTCAGGAGTCACAGTTATTGATAAACCGTTATGAGCCTGAAGGACATTTTCAGCATATTTACACATGAGAAACAGGCTTCAACAAGTATTTCTGAAGTGACTGAGAATCTAGCACTTCTCCACTTGTAGCTGCACTTTAAGTCTCAGCAGAAGATAAGATCGTCTGCCTTTATAGGCCTCGGATGCTGAAGATTATTTTTGGTAGAAGCACCGTGTAGGCTTTTTCTGCAATGAGCAGCAGCTGACTGAATTTTAATAAGAAACCTGGACTGCAGTACTTCTTCTGTAGTCCTTGACGACAGTTGCTTTCATAAAGACTAGTCCTTACCAACCTTGAACAACTATGGATTATTTTGTGAAGGAGGATAAAGTAATGTGTGTTCTCGTAAAATTAAATTTTATCTTTATTTCTTCTCCTGAAAACTGTATACCCAGGAACTGAAAATCTACGTAAGTATACAAACTAGTTGAGGGATAAAACTGTTTGCTTTTATAAAATATCTTTGATTACATGAATATAATAAATTGTGTGCATATCAATGTGTGTCTATATGCTTTCCTTTAAATATGTTTGAAAAGAAGTTTGAAAATTGATTATACTATTTATAATTGGCACAGTACTTTGAATTCTGCCAGTACTACATTGTAAAACAGAGTTGTATTTTTTGATATTTAACAATGCTTAACACTTTAAAAATGCCACTTCTGAGGAATGAACATGGTGTAACACACTTGAATATGTGTGATGCCAAACTTTTTTAAATAAAATATAAATTATGCTTATTTATTATTTTCTTTAGTTTAATCTTGGTCATGTTTTGGTGTGTATTTTTAATTTTTTTTTCTTAAAGTAACATTTTGGCATGAATATATCCCGCAGGTTTTTTGATGAATATAATGAATGTATGGAATTCAACTGAATTTGCATGGTCTTAAGAATTTTTTCTGTGTGTATAAATTTAACTGCTATTAACAGAGGGGAGAACTTTCTGTGAGTAGCCATGTGCGTTGATCAGATACAGTTTTTCTGAGATCTTCAATTAATCTCACTTTAAAAATGACCAAAACATGTCTTTCTTGAATTATCTTTGAATAAAAGTTTGTATATTATTTGTTTCACAGTGTCCTTGATTTTTATCTAAACAGTTTGATGTGAAGGAAACTGCTTGTTTTTCTGTTCTTTTGTAAACTTTTTTCATTTTCTAACTTCGTAGAACTATATTTTTAGTATTAAATCAATAACTGAGGTCACTGAAAGTTTTTCTTCATGAAAATGTAACTGTGTGGTGGCTAAGGTGCTGGACTCACACATGGCCGACCACGGTTTGTGTCCAGGATCTGGTAGCTTGCCTTCTCACTAGCCCCCACCCTCATAAGCACATGTGCCATATAGCAAATTAATAATGACAACAGATACAATTAAAATTTTTAAATAAGAATATGTAACCTCAACTGTCAAGGGAGAGTCCCTGGAAGACTGGTGAAATTGAAACGTGTTACAGTTCTCTGTCCCCTACATGGGGAGGACGTGAAAGATGAAACAGGAAACGCTGAACCAAAAAGGAAGTAAAAAAAAAGAAACACCTCTTTTAAAACTACTGAAAAATAAATTCTGGTTTTGGTATCAGATGAAAGGAGTTGAGGAATGGGAGAAGGGTGGACAACTGAGGTGTACTGGACACAGTAGAAGAAGTACAAGGGAGGGAAGAAGGTGATGGGATATTTTGGCCATTCCTCAGGAGGGGAGTTGAAAAAATTTGGCATAAGCTGTTGTCACAACAGTTGATAATCAAGAGGAAAGATACCTATAATAACATTTCTGTTTATTTAATATAGAATATTCAGATTTAAACATAAAACCACACTTTACTGGACTTTCCATTATAAATGAATGTAAAGAAGTCAGAGTTCAGCAGATGGTGTGGTGGTTAAGGGGCTAGATCCCATATGTCTGACTCTGACTCCATAGTTTGAATCCTGGATCTGGTGGTTTGAAAAACACTCCAGATGCATTTGCATGTGTGCCCATAATCCAGAGAAGAGAATGGAGAAGAAGGCATTGCAACATGGCCATCACCCACGGGGGAGATTTCTCATTTTCTCTCTATGTCTCTCTCTCTGGTGAGTGTACATGCCCTATGGCAAAAATCTAAAATAAAAAAGCAAAACAAAACCCAAAAAATTCAGTCTGTGCTCACTTGATGAAAACATAAATGTCTTTATTAGTGTGGCCTCCAAGCATATCCACTATCAACAAACATGTTGAGGAACGAATAAGCTTGGAGCACCATTAGCTGTTTCTGGCAGTGACACCAAAAAACAGTGACACCAAAAAACATCTTTCCTGATCACTTCCAAACACTACTGTACCATGAAACTCTCTACGAATGTATCAGTTTCAAGATTTATCTTAAAAAAATTTAAAGCTTCTCAGGGCTGGCAGGTGACATGATGGTTAAAGGCTCTGGACTCCCACATGGCCAACCACGGATCAAGTCCCAGACCTGGCAGCTCACTCTCTTTTGGTCAAATTGAAAAATGATAATAAATTCTTTAAAAATTATAAAGCTTCTCTTAAAATATAATCTTAGTCTATTACAGTAAAAAGTCTTATCTACGTAGCATGTTAAATATCTCTGTCTTTACTTTTTCTCTTTGAAACTTTTTTAGATAGACTGTAACATAATTTGCCAAAGGCTATCAGGATCTAGATTTATGATTCCTGAGGCTTTAGACATATCTCCTCCATTTGGAACATTTATTTTTTTAAAAGTATTTATTTAGTTTTATTTATCATTAGTCTCGAATTTGCTACAGGGCACGTGTAGTCATGAGAGAGAGAGAAACGAGAAAATCAGCTGCCAAGCTGGGAACTTGAACCCTGGTTGGTCATGTGGGAATTCAGCGCCTTAACTACACCACCACCTGTTGGCCCTCTTGTTTTTATTTTACAGGCACATGGGAGTGTTCCTAGCTTATTCTATTGTACAAAAAACAAGTCATGGGACCAGCAGTTAGTGTAACGGCTATGTCGCTGGATTCCTATGTAGTCGACTGTCGTTCGAGTCCCGGACCCAGTGGCTTAAACTTGCGCTGGGCGCATGTGCGTACATGCCCAAGATCCCGAGAGGAGAATGGAGGAGAAGGGATTGCAGCGTGGCTATCCCCCCTGGGGGGTGATTTCTTGCTTTCTGTCTCTCTGTCTCTCTCTTTGTCTGGCGAGCGCACGCGCCCTATAGCAAAAACCTCTCAAAAAAAAAGTCAGAAGTTATGGCAGAGAGGTAGATGTCTTAGGAATCCTGCCGAAGAAGCAACCAGGTTTGAGCGGAGTTCAAAGCTGGCTCCATGCATTATGTAGCAGCTCTTCTGCCTGCTTTTGCTAGGACCTATGTCTTCTTGACCAAAAATAGTGATGGCTAGGGTTATGGCACATAGTTGTATGCTGTTAGAAGACTACCAGCTCTTTCCTTGTTCCTATGGACTCCAGCATACAATTCTTATTACCTCCTTATTGTCCCTCATAGCATGAGAATAAGGTATTTGTAATCTCAGCTCCTCATGAGTTATGAGACTTAGGTGAACAGCGGTAGCATAATACTACATAGTAGTGTGCTAAGGCTGTCTTGTTTCAATTTGGCCTTAAGCAAATTGCTCTTTATTGATTTATATGGCTACCAGTGCCTCATTTTAGAGAGGACATGACATGGGAGAAAAGGAACCATATTTTCGATGAAGATTCTGGTGTCTAATCTTGACTTCACCATTCTTTAAGGAAGAAAAGTAGTGGATTGGAGAACCCATGGTGCAAAACTCAGGTCTTAGGTTTTGCATCTTCACTATCAGTTGCTAACTTTGACTTTCAACAGATAACTTGAAGTCTGTCCCTTATTTTGTCTTCTTTAAAATGAGACAGTATTGTTTAGGTCACTTGCAAGATTACTGAAGGGTTTGAAAGAAATGACACAACAATGCTTTTGAAATACAAAGAACCTTAATAAATTGCAGCTGTTGTTGCTGTTCTCTGAGCCTCTGCTTGCTTCATTGTAAGGAGATATGGGAGTTGAACCCTCATATCTCTGTTTCCCTCCAGCTCCAAATCTCCAACGTTTAAAATAATAATTTGATCGCTTGACAGTGATACACCTCTGATTTAGAAAATCTATCCAGTGTGGTACAGTTCTAAATTAGGACTAATAACATTTAATGAGCACTTCGCCTATGCAAGAAACTGAGCTTAATATACATTATCTCAGTCATCACAGCACTCTTGAGATGTGGGTATTTTTATAATGCAGAGGTACCAAATAAAACTCAGAGAAGGTAGATAATTGACCCACGAGCACACTGGTGGTAACAAGCCTATTTAATCTGAGCCTATAGCGCATGCTCTTGGATGCTTACTTGAGCAAGCAAGAGCCAGCAGTTTGGGTCGAGGTAAAGTTGGGCTGCAATACTATCACACAGCCTCAGCCTCTAGGAGAGGGAGCTCTAGAGCTGGGTGCCAAACAAAGTAGTCCCTAAATGGGACGGGTCTACTGCATCAATCAGTCGCTGGGCTCAAGCTGCCGCTGGAAAAGGGGGTGTGCCTAGGGAAGAGTGGCCCCTGCTAGTACTCAGCGGCTGGAGGAATGTCTGTTTAAGTCTTGAAGTCGGGGATCGGGGCACAGTCCCACCGTCCTATGCAGCGTCCTAAAGACAGGCCTCGGTCTCCTGTCAAACTAAGAGGTCTTATTTCTTTCCATTTCATGCTGACCTCTCTGCCAGGATACTCGACAATTTGTGTGCCAGATGCGTGGGATTGTAACAGAGTAAGAGGTTGCACTGGACTTCTTGAGAGAGATGCCTCTCAAGTGGCACTAGCCTCAAGGAGATATTACCTGAACTGATAGGGACGGGAGGGAACAGCTGATTTTTCCAGAAGAGCCCATCTGAGCAAAGGCACGGAGGAGAAAAAGACAGTGCTGTTTCCAGAAACTGTATAGAAAGGGTCTTCACGTAATGCAAACAAGTACCAAAATACAGCGTCGTACACCAGAAATACAAGTATTATTACTTATATCTTAGTAAAGCTGAGAAAAACAAAAACAAGGGAGGGGAGGGCTTCATTAGCCCTAAGAGAATGTGAGGTCTGACATCACATCATCTGTACAATATTTTAGCGTAGGAAGATGACATGAAACGAGCCCAGAGCTGTAGACAAGGACAAGAGTCAAGCCTCCACCCCGTCTCCTGGCTCATGCCCTGCACGGAGACCGCACTGCACGGACCATACCTGGGAATTCTCAGCCGACAGTTTGAGGTTAAGGCTTTAGCGCCCGGGGAGCAGCCATCAAGTGACGTCCATCATTTGCTATCCTTTTATTAACCACTATTTTCTCATCTGCTAGATGCGGGTACTTGGCGCGCGCTCTCTGCTTGTTGCAAGAGTTAGACTGCATTACAAGTTTTCAGTATATAGGGATTTCTTAAAGGATACCTGGGCTGGAGGAAAGAAGGCAGAAGAAAGTTCTAAACCTAAAATATATACGACAGAAAGGCGAACTGGCTGGACACACAAAACATAACGTAAAATTCACTTACACCATGTTCAGTTAACAACTGAAACCAAATCCTGAGACGGAGGCTTCTTTCTTGTCCACACTCGCGCTGTTGCAAAACCACTGGGCAGGGCGGAGGGGGCGGGCGGTCGTCAAGGCAACTCCTGGCGGCGGCGCAAGCGTCGATCTGTCCCCGCCCCCTCACGCCGTCACGCGCTCTCCCGCTTCCCTCCAGGCGCGCGGCGGCGCCAACCACTGGCTGGACGCCGGGGTCTCACTATACTCACTCCATCCGCGGAGCCAATCGCTAGGACCGTCAGGAATTTGTTCGTGTGAGTCACACGGTGCCGACAACGACGCAGACCAATCACCGTGCCGAGGAGGCGGAGCGGGAGCCCTCGCAGGCCAATCATAACAGGAGGAACCGTCTCGCTCCCTCGGCTCCACCCATCCTGAGCCCAAAAAGGCCGGTTCCAAGGCCTCAGTCTAAACTGGGCGAGCCAGGGCGCAGTCCTCTCGAGGCGGTCCAGGTGAGTCGACCCGCAGGGCTGCTTGTGTGTATGGAACGCGGAACCCGGGGACTCCGACCTGGTGCGCCGCGGGTTCGGGGACACCGGAGTCAGGGCTTGATGCGCGCGGGGCGGGACGCAGCGCGAGTATCCGTACGGGTGGAGGCGGCCGGCGGGTGGGGGGGAAGCGTCAG